TATTATGTAATTCTCCCTGGAAACCAAAATGGTTATTTCCTAATGAATTCATTGCGGTTGACTATATAACATAGCTTAATCTTCGGTCATTAGCTGTTATTAATATCTTATCAGCGTAAACCAATAGTGCTAGCAGAGTCACCGTTCCATTTTCAACTATTAAAAGAATCATGTTAGAAAAATTAAGTTTTGAACTTGGAAGATCATTAACACAAACTAACGTACCTAACACTGCACTACAGTGATTACCAAAAATTATGAAAAACTTTTACAGCCTAACATTTTAAGTTTTAATTTATTAAATTCTTAAACAAGTAGATAAGATTTTTTGCACTAGTAACTCTAACCGGCTCCCCGTGTTACATTACCCGTTGGCTGGGCTCCGGAAAACTTTTAAACAGTTTAAGAGTAACTCGACGAACTTGCACCGTTCGGGTAATCATTTTTCAAATTGTATTATTACGCTGAGCATCCACTTCGCTAGTTGTTTTAATGAACACGCCAGCTTCGGATTTTTATGGCTAGACTCAAGTTTTATCAATGCAATAGACTTAATTCACTATTTGGAGATATTACACAAAAGCCATCTGCATGGATACTCCAGATCCATATGTGCTTATATCGACAAGCAACTATGCTTGCATATTTCAATTTGCAGGATGAGATATTGTAGTTGGGGTTGTAGAATGTACGTACGAACGAATGTACATATAAAACGTCTGAACATATAACTATATGTTCATACATATATAGCTAAACATAGCCTCCCTCATAGTAGGGATTTTGCTAGTCGTTGCCATGCTTGGCAGGCGAGTTGGCAACCACAGTTTAACTTTCAATGATATTTAAGAGAGACACTGTTGCCCATCCCTCGACCATAAGGTTCCTTAATCGTCTCTTGCGACACCCACGGGAAAGGAAGGGGTGGCCTATTCTATGCCAGGACTTACATGACTATATGATACCATAAGCACCATAAAATATTCTGTAACGTCGATGGTTGTCTATAGACTACAAATACCACTTTCTATCTCGTGATCTGTACACCTTGTCTACTATTCCAAGTTGCTTAAAAGCGACATAAGATTTTCATATTCTATGAGCTAGCAACGAATGAGACTCCTGATGTTTATAAGCTATAAGCATGTAATAATGGTTATTCGCTATAAAGAACGTTTTAATATTCAAGCGCGCTGTATATATATCTTGTTAAAAGAAATGGTTATGCGTCTATGGGTAAAAGAATCAATATTACTACTAAAATACAAAAAAAAGATGTTAATAACTTGAATTTTACGCTATAAACTCTTTTAATATAAATTATAAAAAGTTTTTATGCAACTTAGAATGGCAAACAAGCTGACAGTCCACCTGATGGAAAGTGGTAACCGTCGCCTACAGACATGAGCAGTACCACGGACATAACAGAGTATATTGTTTCGCCCATGATATCTCCCATGCGTTGCCATTCCTGGGGACTCAGGTGTTATTACTCTGTACCCTGTAAATTCACTGCTATATCCTACCCTCAAACCTTCCTTTCTCGTGGGTGTTGTAAAAGGCAGCAGCGTCCGTATTAAAATATCACCAAAACCTAACTGAAATTGCCAAATCGTCTGCCAAGTGTAGCAACTACTGGCCAAATCTTCTAATAAGGAGAGGACGATGTTCAGCAGTGGACAGTTAACGGCTAATATGGGAATACATAATAGGCAAAATTTGCTACTAATGTTGTATCATTGAGTCACATTTTTGATATTTCAAATATCATATTTTTGATATTTTAGTTCAACATGTATTCATCTTGAAGTAAAATGATAAGTAATGTGGAATATTAGCTATATTTGGAAAAAAAATATATTCAAATTTGGAAATAAATGACGTAAAAGATGAAGCCATTTTTCAAACATTATAACAACTTTTAAAATCTCGTATTCTCTTTGATAACGAGTAACAATTTTGTACAAAAAACATTGAACTCGGTTCACGAGGAAAAGTATAATGTAATGAAAAGTATTTAAAAATATATCAAAGAAACAAAAGAAGCAAATAAAGGCGTCGCTTATTAAAGATTACGAGGTATATTTCCATAATGATGTTGGCTCGCACAAGTTTGCAAGATATATCGACTTGTTTTTGTCATGGAACTATTATCTGATATTTACCTATATATAAAATAATATTGTTTTAAACGACGAGGGTTTTTAATAGGTGGTTTGTTTTTGCCCGCAAATTTGGAATTGGAATGAAAAGATCTAAGTTTCAAACAGGAGGTCTACACCGCATGATGTTTCATAGAATCGCTTAAGCGCTAAGAGGCAACAAACTCATTTTTACATTTATAATGTTACCAAGAATAAGATAACGTTAATTCTGCCTGCGTTATAGGTATACACTCCGTGTTTTTGATATAAACCCATTCGTGTTTCAACCATGAAGAAATTGTGTTTGCATGGCTGTGTTTCGGTTTGAAGGGTGGGATATGGCGTGAATTTACAGGGTACAGAGGAATAACATCTGAGTCCTCAGGAATGGTAACGCATGGGGGGTATCATGGGCGAATCAGTATACTCTGTTATGTCCATGGTACTGCTCATGTCTATAGGCGACGTGTACCACTTTCCATCAGGTGGGCCGTCAGCTTGTTTGCCATTCTAGGTCGTATAAAAAAAACACTGATATCAGTGACAGATAAGGATGAAGTCTACATGAAATTTATTGGAAGGTAGCAATTAACATTTTTAATCTTCCATCCGATACGTTAACTTGTATATCATACTGAATCATATAAAATAACTAAGTATTACTTGGCAATACAGTGATAAATAAGAGTGGTCTCATTTGCCAATAAATTCTTAATATCCAATATATAACCAATGCTACGGCTATTAAAGGATAAGCTGGACAGAAAAACTAACAAATGAGGAAGTCCTAAATGAGAAAAGTGAACGAGAAAAGAACATTAATTAAAATAATAGAGAATAGAAGAGGCAAAATGCTGGGCCACCTTATACGACATGACGATTTTTTTAAGGGCATATAAGAAGGAAAAATAGAGGGCAAAAGAGGAAAAGGAAGACCGAGGAATAACTACATGGGACAGATAAAAGAATCACTAGGTGTCATGTCGTATAGGGTGATCAAGGATATGGCCTGGGATAGAGCGGGCTAGAAGAAGATGCATGAATTAGTTGCACCGACAAGAGGAAACTCTTAAATGAAAAAAATAAAATAAGAAGGATAGGCCTGAACTCTTTAAAAAAGGCATATGTTTACTTTCGTACCAACTATATCAGTGAAGCTTCGCTTGAATTCTGGGGATTATTTATCAATATACATTACTATATATATCAAAATCATATCTGCAGAAGCTGTCCCCTGCTGAATATAGGCCTTCCTCCTAAGGAAGGTTCTGCCAGTAGTCGCCATGTTTGGCAAGTGGATTGGTTAGACTTTAGTGATGTTTTAAGAGTGACGCTACCATCTATCCTTAGGCCATTTAGTTTCCTTAATTACCTCTTACAAAATCAAGAGAAAGGAAGAGGTAGTTAATTTTATGCCGGGACCGCACGGTTTTATTGTATATATAGTCATCAGGAAAGGCAACGGCCGAGTTACATCGTGAGTATCACAGTGTATTCTATAGTGTCCATAGTGCTGTTCATGTCAACAGGCGATGGCTAAATACTTCTCATCAGATGGGCCGTCATCTTGTTTGACATTCTAAGTTATATAAAAAAATCCTATATACCTAGAGAGTTTTCCGATCTAAGTATATATCATAACAAAATATATACACATAGAGAATATTCCGAGGTAAAACAATTAAGGTTTTCTTTTTCGGAAAAAGCAGCTGTTCTCTAATTTAAATCGTGCTCATAAGTATTCCCAGCTTTAATACTTAATCAGAATAGGTACATAAGGAATATAATTACGTTTTATTAAGATAACAGAAATAATTAAGGCTTACTTTAAATTGGTTGCATAATTAAAATTAATGAAGGCGATACAATATAATAGTAAGATTATACTAAATTACGAAATGAGATAATTATCTTTTCCTTTATTCAACACCAACTTTCTCTCTGGCGAGCTTAAAATCTAAGACCTAGAAGACATACTGACTGACTCTGCTGTCCAGATCGTGTTTCTAGTTACACTACACGTCTGCACCACTAGGAATGCAAGCACGTGCGCGTTGCCGTCCCTCAAGAAACCTTAATATATCCTTTTTGAAGAACCTCATACTGTAGTCTCTAGAGAAAACATCGGCAAAGAACTCATTCCACAACCTGTTTACGGAAGGAAATTCCTTTGAAACCACACGGTACGTGACCATTTAGGTTCAAGCGTTTGAGAATGAATTCCCTGTTGATGGCGGGCGGTGCGATGATAAAAGATGGCCGTGGGCATCATTTCAAATAATTCTTCAGAACACAATCCACGATACAAGCGGTAGAACATAGAAAGGGAAGCAAACTCTTGCCTTGGACTTAAAGGCTCGATACCGCCTGTGAGTTTGGATAGTCGACAATTCTTAAAGCCCGTCTTTGAACCAAATCAAGAGGACAAAACTGGTATCCGGTACTCCGGCCCACAGATGAGAGTAGTATACCATAAGGGGCAAGATTAAACATATATATATATATATATATATAAATCTGGACAAATATACAGAAAATGCAGGAAGTCAATGAGTACAGGTGGCATGGGACCATTCTGTATGGCAGTCTATGGTGGAGGCTTGTATTTAGCATTGGACAGATAATAACCGATATGATGTTGATGATGATACCACTCCGGATTCTTGGGGAAAGTTAACCCGAATCGAAATACAGTAATAATTCATTATTCATGATGTAGTTAAACTGCAGACAGAAGGTAAACAAATATAAATTCATTTTGACTTTTCAACTAAAATCTACGAAAAAAATAGATTATTGATAATGATAATAGATATGTAGTTTTAATATATGTGTAATTAGTATATATATACTTACATCAACGTCTATTCCCGGCTGCGCGAAGATCCTCGTGAAAGGATACTCCTTTGGGAGGTAACTGAAGAACTCTTGCCTTCCTCTGTACCATTTGACACTGTACAGGGTCTCATTGCCCTCTAAGGTCCATTTGCAGCCTAGAAGCACCGTGTCCCCGAGTTTAACAGCAGATGGTGCTATCAGCTGGACGTCTTTGAGGGCTTTTGTCTCTGTAACAAAAGCAATAATAATTAAATTTCAGTGACAGTGCTTGTACCTGGTATGGCGTAGAAGGAGTGATTCAAATTCCATCCATTTCGAATTTTTTTTCAGTCACAGAATTATGGAAATATAAATTAATTAAAATTTTAATAAGTAATTAATATATAAGAATATATTATTTTTAATGTATATATATATAAAAACAATAATAAGGGTTTCAATTTGCTTTAATTTATTTTTGTGTGTATGTTATATGATATCTATAAAAACCTATTTTAATCATACTAAACTAAACAGGCAATACATGGTGGGTTCGTTAATTTCCCGTTATATATATATATATATATATATATATATATATATATTATATATATATATAATTCCCGTTTTATATATATATATATATAAAACGGGAAATTAACGATATATATATATATATATATAAACATCGGATAAAAAATTAACATAAGTTTTAAAAAACAATAGTAGTGAAATCATTTGTAGTAAAAACAATGTAACTAAACATATAATCTATAAGAGTATATATATACCTAAAAAAAAAAAAAAAAAAAAAAAAAAAAAATCTGTCAAGTAGCACATTTCCACTTCATATAAAATAAATAATTTAAATAACTACTGTAGTGAAGATCACAGCCTGTGCCTTATACGATTACAGAACATATCAAACAATATTTGAAAATATAATTAAACACGTCGATGAATAAAATGTGCCGTAAAATTATCGATTTTATGTTTATCAGCTGATTGTCAGTTTGCTGCTCAGTGACAGTTGAGTATTTACTTCAACAACGGGGCTCTGTCGCCCCGGTAACTGCAAGCTGCTTTGACAACAATTTATCAAGAACCAATCACAATGCAAATCGTGTGCCGGTCTCCTAGCTACTTCACTAATAACAATCTATATTATTTGTTTATGTGCCAAATTGCTGTTTCCCTTATGACGCTATATTTTTATACTTAAAATAGCTTACGTAATATGGACAGATATCTGTAAAGTGATTTCATAAAATAATTTAACGTACGTATTTTATATTCTATTTGTACTATTTTTTTTTTATGGAGAATGTTGTTAAGCAAACCACAAATGTGCCATCCAATAATGTTCCATTACAGCCCTCAGGATCTACTGCATCACAGGATAATGATATACAATGCCCAATATGTCCCCAGCCTCGTTTTTTTAAAGGCCAGAGAGGTCTCCGAATCCATGCCAGTAAAACACATAAACAAAATTCTGAACAACCAGTTTCCCAATTTTTAAACTTCTCGAACAATCAAAACAAGCCTTTCTTTGAAACACTCAGTCAATTAAAACATTCTGTCCCTCTTGTAAAAAGAATACCTAGAGCCGCCCGTTCATCTGTGGCGAAGAAACTATCTGAAAGCCTAAAAACTGCTGTTTTAGATAACTCGAAACATAGCTGGGAACTTTTACTAACTTTCCCTTACCGTATATTACATGCCGACATAGATCATAAAAACCTTTCCCTAACCAGTTCATTAAAATCAAACTGTTGCAGCTCGAAACTGGAATCTGATCGGATCTCACATCTCCTCAAACATCCAAATTTTCGCAATGGAAGCAGTATTTATAAAAAAGTTGAACGCAAAGCGCATGACGGAGACGTCAAAGGTGCGGCCCGACTCCTCTTTTCCAATGATGCTGTAGCTCCTAATATCCCTTCTACACTTGCTGCTTTACATTCTAAACATCCACCTTTGCCATCCAACCTCAACCTTCCTGACGCACCCGAAAACACAGACATCTATATCAGTGCCTCAACCCAGGATATCTTGCATGCAGTTAAGTCCTTCAACAGTGGGTCCGCTGGTGGTCTAGATGGACTTACTCCTCAACACCTTAAAGACCTCTTATATGGTACTCCAGGCGATGCCGGCACCTTGCTTTTGGAGGACCTAACAGCCCTTGTAAACCTAATGCTCTCTGGAAAAATAAATGAGAGCATAACCGAAATTTTATACGGTGCAAACCTTTGCGCTCTCACCAAAAAAGACGGCGGTATTAGACCTATAGCAATAGGTACTACCTACAGACGGCTTGCTGCTAAAATCTGCTGCAAAGCCGTATCACATAATCTGAAAAAGGAATTTGAGCCATATCAACTCGGTTTCGGTTCTAAAGGTGGGTGTGAAGCAGCCATACACTCTCTCCGCACATACATTACCCAATCCACTAACGATATTTTGCTAAAGGTGGATGTTAAGAATGCCTTTAATTCACTTAATAGGGACGCCCTGTTAACTCAAATTAAACAGAAAATTCCTCAAATTTACAATTTCCTTTGGCAATGTTATAGCGAACCTACTAAACTTATGTATCTAAATAATACTTTACTCTCGGCTGTTGGTTGTCAACAGGGCGACCCTCTGGGACCTGCCATTTTTAGCCTAGGAATTAACCCAATTATTCGGCTTCTAAATTCGAAATTCAATGTGTGGTATTTAGACGACGGTACCCTAGGAGGAAGTGTAAACACCGTATTCGATGACCTTCATATCCTAATACAAGAATTCAAACATATTGGGCTTGAACTAAATTTTTCCAAATGTGAACTCTTTATTCCAGATAATCTGTCTAATAAAGATGAAGTAATTTCTAAATTTAACACCCTGGCTCCAAATATCAAAATTTTAAATAAAAGTTTACTTCACCTCTTGGGGTCACCAATTTTTTATGATTCTTTCCCCACCTTTGTCGAAAACAAAATTAGTAAGTTCTGTTCAAACTCCAACCGCCTCCTAAATATCAACACCCACATTGCATATAACATTATTCGATACTGCCTTTTTGTACCCAATTTTACTCACGTTCTTCGTAGTACACCCTTTTGGAAATATCCAGATCTCACCGCAAAATTTGATGAAAAAATAAAATGCATTCTGAGCTCACTCTTTAATATTACTTTCGAAGACCGTATTTGGACTCAGGCCTCTTTGCCTATCAGGCATGGGGGCCTGGGAATCCGTCAAATCTCCCATATCTCTCTACCAGCTTTTCTGTCATCAGCACACGGTACGCAGAATCTCGTGAAAAAAATACTAACACCTTTTTTCGGTGATTTCGAGATAGCTTACCTGCCTGAGGCTAGAAAAGCTTGGTCTCTGGCTTGTCCCCACGTACCTTCTCCCATAAATCCCAAAATCCAGAGGCAATGGGATGAGCCCATTAATGATCTATACAGAACTTCGTTACTGGACTCATCCCAGAACTCCGCTGAAAGCGCCCGTCTACTCGCGGTGTCCAAGTGGGAATCTGGCCTATGGCTACACACAATTCCCTCACCTCATATCGGAACATTATTGGATAACACAACGTTTAGACTCTCAATCTCTCTCAGATTGGGTGCCAAAACGAATGCTCCCCACCACTGCAGGTGTGGGGACAACGTCAGTGCCTTGGGACACCATGGCCTATCTTGCCTCAAGAGTGCTGGGCGCTTGCTGCGCCACTCAGCTATTAATGACATTCTCCGTCGGGCTCTTGTCACCGCAGGCGTGCCTGCCATTCTAGAACCTCCTGGTTTGATACGTGACGACAGCAAGAGACCTGACGGTATGTCCTTGGTACCTTGGAAGATGGGACGTCCGCTTGTATGGGACTTCACCTGCGTCGACACGGTGGCGCCGTCTCACCTTCCAAGTACGTCTAAGAGGGCTGGTGCCGCCGCAACACACCAGGAGACTATCAAGCGCCGTAAATATTCATCCCTTGGAAATGGATATATATTTGCGGCGTTTGGAGTTGAAACTCTGGGTCCGTGGGGCCCCGAGGCAATGAAGCTTTTCAAAGAGATTTCACGCCGGCTGGTGGAAACCTCTGGTGACCAGAAGGCTGGCCTATACTTTGGTCAACGCATTTCCATTGCTATTCAGCGTGGAAATGCAGCAAGTATCCTAGGCACCCTACCAGCTGGCAGTGATCTCACAGAAATTTTTTATCTGTAAATAATTTTTAAAATTTTTAATTACTTTTTCTTGTTATTTGTAAATAATAATAATAATTATTATTATTATTTGAATAATAATATCCGTCACGCGAACACATCTATAAGAGTTGATAATAACATAGTTGAGTATAAAATGAAAATTGTGAACAGAACTCATCAAGTAAAAATAGGTCTCGATAAAGAACGACCGTAAGTAATTTTGTTTCAATACAAATGTTAACTCCATTTTCTGTAACGAAACTCGGCTAAATCAATTTCCTCTAAGTACAGAAAGTAACATTTGTTCAAATGTCGTAATTTTTTTTTTCTCCACCGCAATCGTCTGGCATATGTTTCGGGGTAACGTGTGTTACTAGTGTTGGCGGCATATTTTTTTTATTCTTTCTTTTACAATACATTAGAATACCAATGGAAAATGGTAACCGTCGCCTATAGATATGAAACAGAACAAGCAGTGAACATCATAGAATACAAATTACATGAATGCTAAACGAAGTAGTAAAACCCTTTTAATATAAGGCGTCACAGTGCTTTTTTAATAGGTGAATATGGAATTATAACTCCGCCTGCGCTATCTATATACGCTGGCATGGTACTAGTGAGTAATTAAGAATACATAAGTGGTTATTTGATTTGAATTATTTTGTTTAATTTCATTACTATACATTTTAAATAATTGAAATTTTTAACCTGTATAATTTATTATTAATACGTAAATATGTTAACATATAATATGACGATATAAGTAAAATAGTATTTGCATAGTATAGTAGCACAATTAAATACATTTTATACGCCAGATTCTGGTGAAAAATGTGAACAATATTTAAATATTATATACCACCCTTTATACCACTTTTCAAACAAAATAAAGCTATTTGGATTGGTATTACCATATGTGTGTAATTGCCAACACTCGAAGAGTACCACCACCATTACTATCAGATGTTCTACAACCTTCCATATTACTCATCAATCTCCGACCACCATTTTGTTCGCGCACGTTTTGCGTTTTGTTT